TGATTTATGCACTGCCTGCTGCATATCAATCGTCGCCTCACCTGGCGTCTGCAGCTAGAGAGAAGGAAAGTTTTCTTTACTCCCAGGTGGAAAGAGGCCCTTTCCTTTGTCAGGGTGTATTTACCAAACATCAGTGTCCTCTGCCCATGATGTAGTGCCGCACTCAGCAATTAATCAGCGTACAATAGCCGTCCCTTCACAGGGGATTATAGATGTAGCTTATGATGTTGCTCAGATGTTTCCCTGTAGATAAGTTTGACAGCACATTAGAAAACCCAGAAGAGGTGGGTGGGAAAAGCAGGACAGGGAGGATGCATATCAATTCATCCTGGGGATACCTACCTGCTGATTGGCTGTGGCTTTTAATTCTTACGTTCATTATGGGTGTCAATCTGACTTGTTCAGTAAACCCCCTATGAATGCACTTGAACCTGTGAAAACACAGCCCAGGTGTTCTTTTGCTTTAATTTTCAGAGGCGTAAATGGTATAAGACAGAATGATGTGACAAGAGATTGCAATGCTGCTGAGTTGGAGCATATAGTTACATATAGTCTTACAACATAGTTACATTCTTTCCTGAACCCATGCTGATTGTCATTAACTATCCCGTTTTCCTGAACAAATTCTACCAGATAATCCTTTATTATGCCCTCTAGCATTTTATTAAAGTTCTGGTTAAAGTCTGGTTAAAAGTGCATTGAATAGACCAGCCTTTCTTAACCAGGGTGCCTCAAAATTCTTGCACAGCGTTATGCCTTTCCATGGTGCAGGTAGGCTTCTGATGTGATGGTGTCTCCTTATGTTAAAGGGGGGGGGGGCTCTGATGTTAAGGGGTGTTTCTGATGTGAACAGGGCTCCATATATGAAAAAAGGGGGCTCTGATGTGAATGAGGGTTCCTAGCGTGAGAGGGGATATTCTAATGTTAAAGGAGAGGGCCCCTGATGTAAAGGGGGACTTAAATGTGAATGGTCTCTAATGTGAAGGGGGCTCCTGATTTGAAAGGGGGACTCTAATGTGATGGGGGCTCCTGATTTGAAAGGGGGTCTCTAATGTGAAGGGGGCTCCTGATTTGAAAGGGGGTCTCTAATGTGAATGGGGCTCCTGATTTGAAAGGGGGTCTCTAATGTGAATGGGGCTCCTGATTTGAAAGGGGGTCTCTAATGTGAATGGGGCTCCTGATTTGAAAGGGGTTCTCTAATGTGAAGGGGGCTCCTTATTTGAAAGAGAGACTCTGATGTGAAGGGGAAATATTAAGGGTTTTTGCGTGCCCCCCTTAAAATCCATACCAGACCCCTATCTAGGATTAGGGTCTTGTCTGAGTTTTGAAGGGGCCACACATAATTTTTTTACATTTAGACTGGGGTGACTCAAGATTTTGCTTACATTTAAAGGGTGAAACACTGGAACAGACTATCTAGCTCTAGCACAATGCAAGGTTTCTGCATACTGTTCATTGATGGATTTTACTTGTTGCTTTGATTGCCCTAAACTTTCTATTCTCATAGTTCACCTCCTGCAACCTGTAACATGGTTTAACCTAAGAACTGCAAATCCATTTCTGATATGGTATGTCAAAGCTCCAAATCTGATAATGAATTGCCAGGTGTTTACAAACCCCTATAATACTTATCATGACATCATGTGGTTTAGGATTACAGAAAGATAGTGTTGGGTTAATTGGGCCTGTCTGCAGGCAATTCAATAATGGCAGAAAATGATCCCCTAGATCAGGGGTGGCAAACTCAAATTCATCGGAGGCTGCATCAGCAGTATGGTTACCCTCAAAGGGCCGGTTGTATAGGACTATGCATCTACTCTCTATTATCATAAATAGTTGCCTCTGCATTCAGTTGCTACTGGTTTTAATAATAATTTAAGTAATAACTAGCCTTGAAAACAGAAGCCTAGGAAGAATAACAGCAAGCAGATATTCAAATGTACAATTTATTAAAACTGTGGGTGGATCTCCTGTGTTATCAGTACTTTGCTTTTTTTTTTACCATAAACTTTAAAATAGCAGCACACAGTTTATTAAGAAGAGGCACAGAACGCAGCACGCTGGATGGGGGAAAAATCGCGAATCGCGCAGATGGGGCAGCGGGACTGGTTTTCATTTTTTATTTACTTTGTAAAAAATTTTCATTTGTTTTATTATTTTTACATTTTTATTTAGTTACATTTTTAACTATTTATTACTTTTTTTTAACTATTCTTTTTTAAACTATTTCTTTTTAAACTTTTCTTTTTTAAACTATTTTTTACAAGGTCCGGCGGGCCGGATTCGGCCCGCGGGCCTTGTGTTTGCCACCCCTGCCCTAGATGATAAGCAAAACAAATGGCTGAGTATGGATTGCTGAACGAGGAATCGCATAATCAGGAAGTACAGATTGGCCAATCTTTTGGCACCCATAAATACATTGTAATGTAAATACTTGTACTATATTTCAGCTGTGTATTTAGCTGTTTGCCTGGTGTTTCACATTAGGTTCTGATATCCCTTCCTTTAATATGCAGAGGGTCTCATCCTAAATCAGCAGACATGACATCTTTCTAGGAACCTATATTCTGCTGTGTGGCAGCATTTGGGTCCATTTTATCGATTATAGTCGATTATGTCGATTAGTTGTTGCAGCCCTATATGCATGACAATCATATCTGTACTGACACTGTAAGGGGTAAATTGAGCCTAAAGGCTTTTTATCTGGCAGCACATTGTGGGGCTTCTGTCCCACTTAAATTAATGTCGTTGTATGTAAACTTGGAAACCATTCTATCCAGCTATGTCTAATCATACATGTGCTGGAACATGTCTCATTCATTTCTGTTTCATTGATTATGGTCACCACCAGGATGGATAAAAAGGGTGAATCCACGCAGTGGGGACAAAAACAGCAATACAAATTTTACAGGGGTACTAACCCTTCCCTGCCCTATTCAAAACTAAAAATAACTTAATATGGAGTTGGCCCCACCTTTTGCAACTCTAATAGCCTTCCCTCACTGGGAAGACTTTCCACAAGACTTTGGAGTGTTTGTTGTAATTCTAGTTCATGCCAAAGGTATTTAATAGGGTTGAGTTCAAATTCTTCAGCACCAAACTCATCAAACCATGTCATTATGGAGCTGGATTTGTGTACAGAGGCACAGTCATGCTGGAACAGAAAGGGACCTTCCCCAAATTGTTTCCCCCAAAGGTTGGAAGTGCACAGTTGTCTAAAATGTCTTTGTATGTTGCAGCACTAACAGTACCCTTCACCTGAAATCAGTCATTTGGAGGGTGTGCACATACATTTGGCCGAATTGTGGTAGGTGTGATGGTCAGTTGTCCATAGACGTTTGGTAATTTAGTGTCATTGTTAGGTGAAGGAGGAAATCTATAACAAACCAAGAGCGCCTCACTCCTTCACTGTTTTCTTTGGTGTTCCTCTTGTTCTGGATCGCCGTGTTATGGAACTGTACATGCTATCCACTGGTACATATTCATTAGTGCAACATGGGCCCACTGCAGTGTACCACTTATGTCACCCAGCAACCGAACTGAATGTGGCCCACTGTGCTGAAACCATACCAGAGCAAAATTGTAGGTTGCCTGTTCGCAGTTCTTTGGGAATTTATATCCAGATCTGTTGGTCTAAATACAACTTGAACATGACCTCCGGTATCTGCTCCTGGTTACAACGTGATACAATACGATATATGCTTCTGTTGGTGGAATTCTGAGTATTGTCCTCTGCCTGCTAACTTCCTTGATCTTCTTGATGATTCTTGTACTATTATTCCTGTATCTGGCTCTGACCATGCTTTGTGATTTGGCACCTGATGGCTGCAGTCAGGGTTTTGCCATGCAGCCACATTCCAAGCCTCTTTGGGAGGGTGAAGGCCATGCACTCCTTAAACTCCGATACTGGTGACATAGAATTTGTTGCTTTATTTTCAGTAAAATTATTTGTGCTTCACTATATAAAAAAAGCCCAATTGTTACCTGAATTTGCACATATAATTTTCAAATTAAAAGCCACATGGCCATCTGACCCAGTTCTGTGTACCTGAAGGTGGACCGATCAATCAGCCCCTATCCCATGGTTCTCCATGAGGAAGATCATTCAGTGAACACTTACTTTGTTTAATTATTTACATCATACGTTTCATTTCAGAGAACCTGTTCATCTCTGTCTTGCTTATCACTTATCATGTTTTACCATTGCCAGAATCCTGACAATCTTGTTGTCCTTTCTTTACTCCATATCTGTTTCTGTGTGAGCGTTGCTTTTGTGTAGGTGGAGCGGAGATGAGAGATGGGTCAGACAGCTTGTAATAACTGAACCTCTGCGGCGGTATGTTAGTTTGTAGAACGCTCCTGTTGTTTTGTTTCAGGGTGGGTTGAGATTGCAGAACGATAACGACATGGAGATTTGTTTGTGGAATTAGGCATTGAGTCCTCTGAGGGAGGTTTATTGGCTATGATAATAAAGCTCACAGGCTTATACATACTCATTGCTTACCATATAAAAATGATATGTGACAATAAAGAACTCCAGGGTAAGGGGAATGGCAAGCAAAAGAACCCAATTCCTAAAGGATCTATTGATAAATGTTTTCAAATCATTGAATTCAGTTAGAAAAATGTGTGAATTTTGGGTGAAAGTTGTGTGAATCTCACGTGGAAACATTTAAAAGTAGACTCCTAAATGTAACCAATGTACATTCTTGCCTCCTTTTGTTGCAAAGAGTGAGCAGCTAATATACGCACGATGTATAATATACTAATTACATGTATTTTATTTATGTACTCTACACAGCCTAATTTTTTATATTTGACAGACATTTTGTCATTTCTGTTGTTTTGTGTTCACTGAAAATAACTTTTTTGGGGGGGAAATATACTTTTATCAATGGCAATTTTTATAGAAAAAATGTTTGTGTTTATGCATTTTTAATTATTATACATTGTCAGCGCAGATGTTAATATTTGTATTTTTGATCTTGTCTTTTTACCAGATGCACGATATTGTCACTCTCAGCATATCATGGATGCCACGGGGGAAAGTTTGTCGGTGACAAAACGCTGCGTGTCGCTGGAGCATTGCCTGAACGCAGGATGCAGAGACAGCGGGAAGCATGGCCACAAGGTACTGATCCACATTCCTATAGTGATCGCTAATATGACACGGGCTTGTTGTCCTTGGAATAGACACTCCTGGTAATTCATCTTCATAGACTGAAAATATTTTTCCAGCTTGTTCAGTAACATACCTCTTTAAAAGCTGCAACTGTACAGTATCCTTACAGTGTATCTAAAGATAACGTTTTTGTTTTAGTTTTGGATACAGGAAGGAAAGAATGGTTAAAAATCCTTTTTTGCTGCCTGTGGCTGATTGGAGAAACTTGCCTTCACTTCCTCTCCCAAAAAACACAACAGGAAGCCTGTCATTATAAAGCTTTCTTCCTCTTTTCCTTAACATATGAGGGCCCCTGACACGTATCGGGCCACACACCCATCGAATATCTGTGAACATTCATTTAGTGCCAGTTATGGCAAAAACGAACATTCTAAATGTATTTTAGGTTTGATGAAATGTGCTTTAATACTGCATTATGGCCACAAGATGGAGCTGAGGAACATAGGACATTAGTATTTAGTGGCCATAATGCAGTATTACATCACAATACATTTGACCTGAAAAGAAAATATGGTAAGAAATTTTTTTTTGGGGGGGAAACCGGAGTGCCCGGAGTAAACCCACACAAGCACAGGGAGAACATGCAAACTCCATGCAGATAGTGTAAGGACTGTGACTTTAACGGGGGGGTCTCCAGTGCTGAAAGAAGTTCTAACCACGAAGCCACTGCTTTTAGAACAAAGTAGCAAATGAAAGAGAGGAAAATATGTAAAAGCAGCCTAGAGCTCCACCTGCTGGTTGAATACATATGTACAAAACCAACAGCTATTCTTATGATGGAAAAATAAATCAAATACATATCCCATCTTCTCTTTGTTCCTGCAGGTATGCACGTCATGCTGTGAAGGAAATATCTGTAACATGGCTCTGCCCAGGAACGAGACAGACGCCATCTTCTCCACGACATCCCCGCTCAATGGCTCGCAGAGACTTTCCACGCAAGGCTTTAGCCTCCTCCTGTGCCTTCTATACACTTCTTGGCTATTCCTGACATGAGACCGCCAAGGATGGCAGCAAGAATGGGCTAATACGTGTACCGTGTACATAGGATTTATTTATAATTGTGATGGACGCTGTATATTTTGTACATTGTTATTTTTATATGTCTTGTTCATTCTTTAGTCAGAACTATTTTATTATTAGTATGAGGAATTTTAATGGGGATCTTATGAGACGGGCAAAGCTCTTAGCTAACGTAATAGGTCCCTAGCATTTGCTACGGTGCAGATCCACATCTAAGAAAAAAAACGTTATGGGGAACTCCAGCAAACATAAAATGGTAAAATATCATCAAGTTGCTGCTCAGTAACTGCATTTGTAGTTTGCATCTGGACTTCTTCATTTGCATTGTGCTTACAGTGCTTTCTGCATCACATTGTCTTTTGTCTTTTCAGTTACAATTTGTCTCTTAGGGGTTCATTTGTAAAACTTCCAATCGGCATATAGCTGGGCGGATGCCGTTCGCACTGCACCAGCACCCCTAGGTGGCGCTAACGATCATAGGAATTTCCAATACTTGTCAGCGCCATCTAGGGGCGCTAGTTGGAACATTTTAAAAGGCATGTCTTATTAGATTGTTACACCCAGTTGTAAATGCAAGGGCCGTTCATGCTACTGCGTTTAAGTTGCATTAAATGCACCTCCATGGATGTATTATTCAGGCATGTTTAATGCACGTTAAAGTGTATGAAAACCCTAAAAATGAACTTCTATCTTTTGCCCTTTTGGCCTGTTAAATATGCTATTAAAGGCGTTTTGTTATATTCTACTCAGTAAGTGAAAATACCTGTTGATCCTGCCAGAAATCTTGTCAGCTGATAACTTTCTGTTATCAGTTGTCAGTTACAATGTTCCTATATAACTCTGTGGACTACAGAAGAGGACATGGGATGTGTTCTGTACTTGTTCTATACTTCCTGTCCTAGGGTGACAACACTGCTCCACCATAGATACAGTACAGTAAGTGAGTGTTATCACCCCAGGACAGGAAGTCTGTTACTGGCAGGATCACCAGGTGAAAATAAAGGCCTAAAAAAACTAATGCAGCGACCTCTTCTAAGGAGCTAAGAAGTTGTATTACATTTTTGTTCTCGGGTTTAAATACATTTTAAATGCATTGCGTGTACTGCACCTGTGTTAAAAAGGGAAATGACTTCTAAAATATCCTGTTACAAGAACGATTGTGTGTCATAAATTGAGTTCTCCTTTAAGATCCATTTGGACTTGATATATCAAAACCAGAGAAACAAAGCGTTAGAACACTGGCTGCCATATATTGAAAAAAGGTTATGACAGGCAAAATATCTATGTTTCAATGTGTAAGTAACTACTGTGTACATGCCTGAAATACTGATGTAGTAACTATTCTGCTCTTGAAATATTAATATGGAATGGAAGCTGTTGCATTAGTCCATTTATACGTTTTAGCCATTTACATAATGAGAAAACAATGGCAGGAACTTCAGCAAACAGGAAGTGTGTTGCCCATAGCAACCAGATTCCAGCTGTTACCTTTGTTGCTGCAGTGCTGCAGGTTTCTAACTGGTTGCCAGTAGCAACACAATTATTTCCTGGGCCCTGGTATGGGGTGAGCTGTTTGAGACATCGCGGTCTATTGGTTTTTGGCTGGCTCAATAACTGAAAAGCTGCAAATACAGAATGATACGTAATCTGACGCCATACATGTCTGCTATATATCAATCTTCTCGGTTGATTTACATATGAAAATCAATAGTTAATCAGTTTATGGCATGCCAGACTGCAACAAAGATCGGGCTTATTCACACGGGTGCAGAGGTCTGCATATCATAAAATCTCTGCACCAGGGTAACCACAGTGTTGTGTGCAGCCCGCCTGTACAAGTCAATGGCAGGCCGCAGCTCTGTGCCGGTAAATGCTGCTGCAGGCGTATACATCCATACAGGTTCGGATATACACTTTGGACGCAGACAGTTTACATTCAGGGGGTGTACATCCAAACCTGTACAGATGTGCATGATTGGAGCAGCATTTACCTGTGTACAGCATAGCCTGTCATCGCCTTGTTGTACAGACAGGCTGCATGCAACACCCATGCCTCCCGGACGCAGAGATCTGAGCATTTTTTTTATGGACCTCTGCGCCCATGTGAATGAGCCCTAAAATGAATACGTTGGCTACAAGTAATATTTATTCTGGCTTCACACAAAGTGGAACTTAATTCTCCTCTCCCCCTCATCAGCACTAACATCTTCATCCGGCCTTCTTCTGAGGTCAGGATCTTCAGCCATCTTATCTGGCAGGCGAAGGATAAAATAACCCTGGTGCGGATGCACACGGTACATCCCGACACCGAGGGGTGCTGAGAATCGTGCAATGCAGCATACAAATGCATCTTTTTTTATTGCTAACACACATGTGCCTAGTGGTGCGCTGGGTAGGTGTACCATTCAAATGAAATGTAGATTGTTGCATTAATGTGTGTTGCAGCGAGATGCTTGTTTTACTGCAATGCATATTAGTGAATGGGATTGTACGGGAGTGAATAAACCATGAATAATCTCCTGCGGAGCTGTAGTCTAAGTCCCCTATTCTGGCTACCCGGTTCTGAGTGGGTGGGTCTTTGGCTAGCCCCTCCCACACCTCAACAGCTAATGACAGAAGAACAGCTCACCTGCCAGCATATGAGGAGCTCTCCCCATACCAGGCGTCCATTTAGATGCCCCGAACCAATGGTAGCAAGAAACTGATGATCAGCCCTCTAGTAGAATCTTCCCATTGTCAATTAAGCACATAACCAACACCCATAACCTGTCGGCTTTATTGAACCACTCCTAAAAACACCCAGACACTGCTTACGTGTGTTGGACCTAATAGCCACCCACACGCACCTCCCCGGCAGGTCGGAAAGTAATTGAGTTGTTTGACATTTTGTGTTTTTGATATGGATTCCTCTGTGACACGCAGGGTGAAGTCACATCAATTATTTCCTAATTACGAAGGTTCACGGGTTTACCAGTTCCCATGGAACTCCGGTATTATACAAAATATTGTTCGCTGTTGCGCCAACTGCTCTTTAGTCGGTTCACAATTGGTATTTTAGCTCTCCATATATGGGCCTATGTCCAGATTCGGTCAATGCCAATGACCTAATATGGCCATATAAGGTCAATGATGGCACCTGCATCCCTCCCCTTTGTTTACATGCAGCTTTGTGGCGGGGAATCCCCCGGTTGCAGTTGATTGGGTGCACACTGATGGCTAATATCTGAGTTCGGATGAGCTCAGGTTTAGTCGTTTTTGCTGTATATGTGCTTTAGGTGCCATTCAGTATGTATGATAAAGCACATATACCATGTTACCATGTGTTATTGCAAATGCAACGGCGATAGGGCCCGCCTTACAATTCAACTGTAAAAATCAGCATGTAAAACTTGCAAATCTAATAAATGTAATTGGCACTATTAATTAAGTCATGCCACGTTATTTAATTATTAAAAATGAGTGATCCTGCCCTTCCTATGTGGGGTAACAACCTTATTTTACCTGCAGTGAATTCACTGCAGAATTGTCACCCTGTGCAGTTCCATGTTACAGGTGCTGGATCTCTCCTTCCAGCGAAGACCTCGTCACACTATGACTGATGGTATAACAGAATCATCAGTCATAGGGACAAAAATGAGGGTTAGAGTACAAAAAAAAAATGTCAGGGGACTGACGGAAAAAAAAATTTCAACAGAGACTTTAACGTATAACTAAAAGTCAACTTTATTTTTGTAGATTTGTTTTAGCTTTTGATGGAGCGATGAGGGGGTTCCAACCACTGTCATGTTGTTTTATTGCTCTATGTGTCCTCTTTGGAAAGATCTGCTCTCTCTAATTGTCCTCGTCGCCATTGTCACCGGGAATGACAGTGATGGGAAATCCAACATTTTAAGTTGCTGCCAGAACAGAAATAAAGGGGAAATTAAGGGGAAATCTTCCAATGGGGACACCTGCTCCCGTAACAACTAAGAGGGCCTATCCCGACAGATATCCTCACTTCCTGTTGAGTCTACAGGGCAGGCAATGAAGGAAATCTCCATAATGAGACACAGATGGCAAACAAGTTTTAACCTTTGTCTAATGTATCAAAATTAAGAAAAAAACGTTGGACTTTACATTTGCTTTACATTGTTTTGCAATCCTTCACACACCTGGCAGACAATTGTTGCATCTTCTACTTCTCATTTAAAGTATGTGGACATTCTGATTCCGTGATGGCTGCCTGTAGAGTTTATGCACTTAATAGATTTTACCCATTAACAAGATTAATGAACCTTTGTAGTTACACAGCTCAGTGATGCCCATCCAATCAGTCTAGAATATGCCATTTTCTTCAGGCGGTTATAAACTTCACCCACTGAACGCGGTTAAAGGGGAATAAACAAAACTTGTTCGTTATCAGATGTATAATGTATTTAAAGTGAACTGAGCTACAGGCTTTGGGTGGACATTGGGGCATTAGAGTACCTGGCTGGATTCTTACATCTCTCCATTGACTCCACTGCTGAAACCTCCACATGGTACTTCTTAAAGTGAAACTGCGCTCCAATTTTTAAAAAATCAAAAGGATTTTATGGCAGAAGAGACTCTGTATGTCTTTGCCATAAAACTCTTTCCTGGTGGCAGAAGAGGCTCTGTGTGTCTTTGCCTTAAAAACTCTTTCCTGGTGGCAGAAGAGACTCTGTATGTGTTTGCCATAAAACTCTTTCCTGGTAGCAGAAGAGACTCTGTGGGGTGAATTTATCAAAACTGGAGCAGTTGCCTACGGCAACCAATCAGCTTATCTTTTCCACCTGTAAAGTTAATATTTGAAAATGAGAGAGAGAAGCTGATTGGTCGCCATGCACAGCTGCTCTAGATTTTGTCTGCTCCAGTTTTGATGAATTCCCCTCTGTATGTCTTTGCCATACAAACTATTTCCTGGTGGCAGAAGAGACTCTGTCAGGGTTATTCACAAAAGAGTGAAGAGTTTGGAGAAGGCAGGAGAAGTGAACAATCTAGGACAGGGGTGCCCACAATTTTTTGTGTTAAGATCTTCTTTTCAAATGACGAGCTACATGAGATCTACCAACGGAAAAAAAACCTCCCTCGCTCTCTC